CTGGAGTGCAGTGGCCACTCCCGGCCACTGCAACCTCGACCTGCTGGGCTCCAGCGATCCTTCCACCTCAGCCTTCGGAGTAGCCAGAATTACAGGCACGCGTTACCACGCCCAGCTGATTATTTGATTTATTGTAGAGATGAGGTCTCTCCTACCCAGGGCGGGTCTCGAACCCACGGGCTCAGGCAATTCACTCACCTCAGCCACCCAAAGGCACAGGATTACAGGCTGAGCCACCGAGCCCGGTTTCCTCTGCTTCTTTTTATGCCTAATAATTTTTTACTGGATGCAAGACATTATAAATGTTGCCTTATTGGGCAAAGGATATTCTGTATTCTTGAAATTTGTCCAGGGACACAATTAAGACTTGGAAATGATTTGATACAGGTCTTGCTTTTAATATTTGTTAGCTGGTACCAGGTTAGTGCTCAATCTAGGACTAATTATTTCTTATACGAGGCAACACTATTCTATGTATTCTACATAGCGCTTCATGAATTTTGAGGTTTTCAGCACTACTTCTAGGCCTAAGTAAGCACCAAGCACCTCAGTTCTTTTGTGTGCTTCTTTGTCCAACTGACTAGTTCCCTCACATTTACACACTGCTCAGGATTCTGCTGAATACTTGAGTGGGACCCTTTACAAATCTTCTGAGTTCTTGCCCTCTGTGAAGCTCATTCTTCTCCTTTACTTTTTCCAGAAAATTCTAAAGGCTTTTGTCTTCCTTGACTCTCAGGTCTGTCTTCTCAACTCAGAGTGTCCACCAGGCTATGCTTTTCTGTGCTAAAGTCAACAAGCTGGGGCAATCACAGGGTTTAATTCCTTTGTTTCCTATCTCTCAAAGGTCACTGCGCTTTATTGCCTGATGTTAACTGTCTTGCCAGCTGTTATTTCATATCTTTTGCCTTTTTTTCTCCATCGTTTCAGTAGGGTAAATTTGGTTCCTTATTCCATCTTGGCCAGAAGCAAAGACTCATCATTTTAACTTCAAAAAAAATTTAGAAAATATTGCTAGTGTAAAAAATTCTAATTTCTGTATCAATTTCACATGAAATACATGCCTACTTATTTATTTATATCATGTTATACAAAAAGGAATGATATATAATTCAATATATATGACAGCCAGATTATGTATCTATAAGACTGAGTGGAATTCATGTTGCCATAGATGCATAATCCAACGTCTCCTTGAAGCTTGACCCAGAATTCTACACAATTCACTCATGAAGGTAAGGTACCTTTCAAAACCACTCTGGTTTTAATCTGGATTTCCAATGATGACCAGAGCGACAAAACAAAGCATTATATCATTTGTTAATTGAATGATTTGTTGTTATCTCATTCAAGTTTCAAAACAATATTTAAAGTATCACTTCTTTTTTAAAAAATTGTTCTTATCCTACTTTGAAATGTTTTGTTAAAAATGCCAAGTTATAGCTGGGCTCAGTGGCTCAGCCTGTAATCCCGCGCCTTTGGGAGGCTGAGGTGAGTGGACTGCCTGAGCCCGCGGGTTCAAGACCCGCCTGGGCAGCGAGACCTCATCTCTACAATAAATCAAAAAATTAGCGGGGCATGGTAGCACGCGCCTGTAATTCCGGCTACTCAGAAGTCTGAGGCGAAAGGATCACTGGAGCCCAGCAGGTCGAGGTTGCGGTGGCCAGGAGCAGCCACTGCACTCGAGTCTGGGCAACAGAGTGAGACTCCAACTCAAAAAAATAAATAAATAAATAAATAAAAATTTTTTAAAATAAAATAAAAATAAATGCCAAGTTATGCTAAATACTCTTTAACTAGTTTCAATTTAAAAAGTCATGCAATATAATAAAAGTCTAATTTCAACATCAATTAGAATGAACTAAAATTTAAGCATCTTGCATGTTTATAAATCCTCTGATTAAATGTTTCATTAGAATCTAATTTGTAATGTTTACAATTTTAATACATTTATTTTGACAAAAATTTTATTTGTACAGGAAAATTACTAAGATAGTACAGAGAGTTCCCACATTCCTCAGACTCAGTTTCCCCTATTATTAACATTTGACATTAGTGAGGTAAATTTTACAATTAATGAAGCAATATTGATACATTACTATTAACTAAAGTACATAGTTATTTAGATTTCCTTAGTTTTAACCTAATGTCTTCTTTCTGTTCCAGGACCCTAGGTCATTTAGTCATAATGTTTGCTTGGCTTCTCTTGGCTGTGAGAGTTTCTCAGCCTTTCTTTGTTTTAGACAGCCATGCTGATGTGGGGAGCACTGGTTAGGTATTTTGTAGACTATTCCTGAATTGACATTTGTCTTATCTTTAAAATCATTGTTAGATTTAGATTATGGTTTTTGGGGGAAAATAGCACAGAAATAAAGTGCTATTTTTATCACATGACATCAAATCTATTATTAATATGGCTTATCACTGTTGGTGTCGATTTTGACCACTGAGCTGATTGTTGATTTTGGCAATGTTTGTCAGGTTTCTCCACTGCAATCATATTCTTTTTCCCTTGTTTCTTTATTGTACTCTCTGGAAAGAAGTCATTATGTATACCCCACACCTAAAGATTGGGATGGTATATTTTACCTCTTTTAAGGCAGAATATCAACATAAACTATTTGGAATTCTTCTGCATGAAAGATTTGTCTTTTCTCTTCCATTTATTTATTTATTCAATCAGTTTCCTTATGAATGAATGAACTCGTGGACATTTATTTTCTATTTGGGCTATCATCCAATATTACATTATTTATTTTGTTGCTCAAGTTGTTCCAGCTTTGATCATTGGGAGCTTTTAGTTCCTATGACATTTACAATCCTTTAAACTACAATGAAACCTTCAAAATGACTATTCTAACTAGTGACTAAATGATGTCTTAAGATTAAGTTAGGCACTTAGGAAGACACATCACTTTCAGACAATGCATTAAATGATATTCTGGTTGTCTGAAAGAATTCATCAGACAGGAAGTAAGTTAAAGAGTAGGGAGAAAAGTGTCTATTATGTAGCACATATTTTAAGAAACTAATGAAATAAAAAATGAAAAAAATTCAAACCTTTCAAAGCAAATTTATAGATGGCTTCACATGCTCTAGCCAAAATTTCTTCTTCTGGAGAATTAAGCATTAATACCACAGTTGCTGCTTTTTTGCTTTCAATCGTTACTGGATCAAACTGAAAGGCAGAAAGAAAAATATCAGGTTTGTATATGAGTTTTAAAGGTCACATAAAAAATGAATGGTGTCTTAAAACTTAAAGAGAACATAATCTTGCAAAAAGGATGTGGTAACTGCCAAATAAGTGCATTGTAATGTTTATATATATATATATATATATATATATTTTTTTTTTTTTTTTAATTGCTGCTAGAGAAACAACTGTCAGCATTGCAGTCTTGGAATTCATGGAGTATGGTAGGAAAAGCAAAACATTTTGGAATATAATAGATCTAGTTTCTCAATTTAGTCATGTGGAATCAAACAAATTATTCAAGCTCCTTGAAGGTCAATTTGTTCTTCTATATAATGGGGATAATAGTAACTATGTCAAAGGATCAAGGAGAGGATTAGAGAACATGTATGTAATGTACTTAGCATACAGTCTGGCACATAATATATTAAGATAATTCTTAGTCAATACACAAGAATCTTTGAGCACCCATATACACTTGATGCCCTGACCATCTGAATAATTAATACCTGCTTTTAAATCACTGGACTCTAGAAAAGCAGGAATTCCATATGTGAAACAATGAAAAAATAATAGAAAAGAGCAAAATGTAAAATTGGATAAAATGTAGAACAGGGGAAATGGTAATATAGTATAAATAAAAAGTATAGGATTCTAAGATGATCTGTGTCTGGGAATTCATGTGTAGCTGAAATGAACGATAATAAACTCATAACCCCTAAAGATTTTCTGTGGTCAAGGAGAAAACAAATTATTACACTATTTTTCTTCCATTTCCAGTGACTGGTAACAAAGGAAATACTGCTTATGACAAGAGCAAAAAATTGATATTCCAAAGCTTTAGCTGGTTCTTTGTGCTGGCTCTTCCTAGATAGTCATGTTACTGTGCTACAGGATATTTAAAATGTTGATGTTTAGTTTAGAATGGAGAGATAGATTACTCTGAATAAGGAAATATAATTATGCGAGTTCAAAAGATTGAAGAAGAAAGAGAAGATGGTGGAAAATAATGACCTAAAAGACATGATCAGGATAACAATGCCTGGAGGAGAAATAGTTGTTGGACTTTAGGACATGCCTAATATCCATATTAAAACTGCTATTTGTTTACGTCTCACTTTTAAAACTTTTAGAGTTACAAGAGTCATGTTGGTTCTCAAGCCTCTGAGATTCTTAGGGGAGACAAATCTTCAGTAAAAATCTGTCATAGCCGGGCTCAGTGGCTCAGCCTGTAATCCTGCGCCTTTGGGAGGCTGAGGTGAGTGTATTGCCTGAGCCCGCGGGTTCGAGACCTGCCTGGGCAGGCAAGACCTCATCTTTACAATAAATCAAAAAATTAGCCGGGCGTGGTAGCGCGCGCCTGTAATTCCGGCTACTCGGAAGGCTGAGGCGGAAGGATCGCCGGAGCCCAGCAGGTCGAGGCTGCAGTGGCTGGGAGCAGCCACTGCACTCCAGTTTGGGCGACAGAGTGAGACTCCAACTAAAAAAAAAAAAAAAAAAAAAAAATCTGTCATATACATCAGGCAAGTGGCACTTGTGAATTTCCAATGACATGAACCAGAGAAAAGGTGGCCTCTAGCAGAGCCAAGAGCAATGGCTGGATGGACCAGGAGAGCAGAAGGTCCTGGAACGCTACAGAAACCCTTCCTTCCTTCCTTCCTTCCTTCCTTCCTTCCTTCCTTCCTTCCTTCCTTCCTTCCTTCCTTCCTTCCTTCCTTCCTTCCTTCCTTCCTTCTTCTTTCTT